ATATATATATATATATATACAGAAATATATATGTTACTGTGATGGTTTGACTCTGGCTAAGTTCCAGGTATCCATCAAGTCGCAGTATCACTTCCCCTCCTCCTTTCCCCTTGTTTTCTCAATAGGGTAAAGAGGGGAAAGAAGATACACTAACCCTTGTGGGTGAAACAAAAGCAGTTTTATTATAAGCAAAGCGAAGCAAAAGTCCGCGTGCGGAAGCAAAAGCAAACAGATTTAGTCTCTACTTCCCATGGACAGGAGATGTTGGGCCTTCTCAGGAATCAGGGCTCCAATACGCGTGGTGGTTGCCTCGGAGGACCAAGGGTGACCCCACCCCCTTCCTCCTTTCTCCCAGCTTTATACTGAGCAGACGTCATATGGTATGGAATATCCCTTTGGTCGGTTTGGGTCAGCTGTCCTGGCTGTGTCCCCTCCCAAGATCTTGCCCACCCCATCCCACTGGGGAAAATATCAGAAAGAGCCTTGGTGCTGTGTAAGCACTGCTCAGCAGTAGCCACAACACCAGGGTGCTATCAACACCCTGCCAGCTCCTGACCTAAAACACAGCACTGTGAGGGCTGCTATAGGGGAAAGCCAATTCCAGTTCAGCCAGACCCAGTACAGTTACCCATTAAATGCTTTGCCTTTATAGAAAGAATAGAGGCTCTGCAAGAGAGATCTGGATAGACTAGAGCGATGGGGTAAGGCCAACTGCATGAGCTTCAATAAGGCCAAATGCCGGGGGCTGCACTTGGGCCACAACAACCCCCAGCAGTGCTACAGGCTTGGGGAGGAGTGGCTGGAGAGCTGCTAGTCAGAGAGGGACCTGGGGGTATTGATTGACAGCCGGCTGAATATGAGCCAGCAGTGTGCTCAGGTGGCCAAGAAGGCCAATGGCATCCTGGCTTGTATCAGGATTAGTGTGGCCAGCAGGGACAGGGAATAGATCTTGCCCCTGTACTTGGCGCTGGTGAGGCTGCACCTTGATTACTGTGTTCAGTTTTGGGCCCCTCACTACAAAAAGGACATAGAGTTACTCAAACATGTCCAAAGATGGGCTACAAAGCTGGTGCAGGGTCTGGAACACATGCTCTGTGAGGAGCGACTGATGGAACTGGGGTTGTTTAGTCTGGAGAAGAGAAGACTGAGGGGAGACCTTATCACCCTCTACAACTCCCTGAAAGAAAGCCGCAGAGAGCTGGGTTTGAGCCCCTTTAGCCTAGTATAAAGTGACAGGACAAGAGGGAATGGCCTCAAGTTGCACCAGAGAAAGTTCAGACTAGATATTAGGAAGCATTTCTTTACAGAATGGGTTGTTGGGCTTTGGAATGGGCTGCCCAGGGAGGTGGTGGAGTCCCCATCCCTGGAGGTGTTCAAGAGTAGGGTCGATTTAGAGCTTAAGGATATGCTGTAGGTGGGAACTGTGCTAGGAGAACTGTTGGACTAGATGATCTCCAGGGTCCTTTCCAACCTAGATGATTGTGTTTCTGTGATTTCACAATTTAAGGCAATTATTTTAGAGAGATTCATACAGCCCACTGCTATCTCCAGGTGTCACTGCAGTATTAAATATTCTCTTGCCCTTGACATTTTCTTGTCAGAACATCCTGCTTTCATTATTGGAAGTACGTGTCCCTCCATGCCATAGGTCAAATTCTACTCTAAGAAAAACCCTTGCAGGCCATTCAGGTTAGAGATGAGAGAACAGATGTTACTGAGGTCAGAGCAGCCTACACGTAACATTATACCAGGACAGTTTAAAAGCATCACCAATTCACTTCCCAACATTGATAAAGTGACCAGATGCAGTCTAATGGCTATCAAAGCTCTAAAAAAAAGGCAGTTTATGGGAAAGGGTTATTCTGGAAATTAAGAGCAAATATATTCCCCTTCCAGGCAAACTTAAAGGGAAGTCAGCTCTGGGAATGGTTGTTAATTAACATGATTGCTCATTTATAAAGCAACAGCAGAACGAAAGAAAGAAAAAAAGCCATCAGGTGGTTTGTGATGTTAGAGTATATTATGGATTCCCACATGAGTGGCATTAAAATGGAGTTAAAGGGCAGAGTACATATTGGTAACTTAAATTGCACAGATGATGTAATTCCCAGAAATAAGCATCAGAAACACAAGAAAGTTGGTGTTGCACTTAAAATTATATCTTCATATATGCAAATGCAGTTAAAGTACTCAAAGAGCCTTAAATGTGCCTTATAGTGACACTATGAGAGAGAAAAGTGAAGGGGGGACAAAAAACAATGAATGAAATGTGTCTTCAATTTCAATTGTAAAATGTACAATAATAAATATATCGGTTTTCTCATACCCTACAAGAGAGGGGATCAACAATTTACAGCTTTTCATTGCTGCTAGATTACAGATCTGACCCTTTCTCTACTTCGGGTAACAGTTTATAAGATCTACAGGACTTATGTATGGGAATAACTCTTCTTCCCAGTGCTGAGTCCTAATGCCTGGCTCATGTACATTTGGCATGAAGAAAACTACATTTCTAGACTTAGTGACAATACTTTTAAGTTATGTGATTTTCAACAAGCACAGGAAATTACAGACAAGCAGCTACTGCTCTCCCTGAAAAGACTGAAAAGTATGACACTGGAGGCAAGGAAACAGTCTGGGAATGTGAGTATGCCATAATGAAGGCAGGATCACAATCAGATCTCTGTAACTTTGTAGCACAGGCTGCTGTTTGAGATTTTCTGGATTCAAATAAATGAAGGTCTGAAGCGAAGGATGAGCATCAGCTCAGCAGGCTGTTAATGGCCAAGTTGTTCTTCTGGACAGTGACTTGTGAAAGCCATCTGAATCAGTGGAGAGAAAGAGCCTCAGACATTTTATTAAACTGATCAAACCCATGAAAAGTGGTCAGCAGAAGTCAGATGAAAAAACAAGTTTTGATGACAGGAAGAAGGTGAAGAATACACATCTTGCCAAATGATGTGAGTGCTTGGTTATCTAGGGTTGCTTTAAAGATTATGAGCATCTTGGTTCACATCTGCCAGCTAACCAGGCTTCCTCATATCCCTATTTATGAAGAAGCATCAGTCTTCTAGGGTGGAGAAGTTATGACAATACAGATTATCTCATCTTGCAAGACTTCACATACAAAGAGAAAATGCAATGACAGAAAGAAGTCCACCAGTCAGTCCTTGTGAGAAACTGAAATGTCAAATGATTATGTCAAAGTTTGCTTGTGTGTGTGTAAACCTCAACAACAAGCTGTGGCCTTTGGATTAGTCCAAAGAATGTCACCCAAGGAAGAGGGAGTGTATCGAAGGATGCACCACCCGCTCCCTTGCAGTTGCATTGTCAGACTCCTTAGATAAGCCTCAAAGGGGAGACATGGAATGAGTGAAAGCAAATGTTTATCACTGGCTCCATCATGTAAACCCAATAATTTGTGGCTTTACTGTGTATGCCAGACACCTTGGATGCATTGCTAATGACTTTGCACCTTTGCCACTGAGCTAATAAGAAGTGAGTGTTTCTGCCCCAGAAGTTTGCTCAACCCAAATGGTTGCTCAAGCACGATGTCACCAAAAACCTATGGGAACAGAGGAAAAACCAAAGGTGGGTGGGGTGAGTACAACCCCCAACTAAATTGGAAACTGGGTGGTGCACTTCATTTCCCCCTTAATGCATATGCAGAACTCATGCTCCACCTTTTTCCTCATCTGTCATGGAAATAAGTTTGTGGAATACCTGCCCCTCCTCATCTAGCATGCTAATCAACTGATAAGATTAACTTAAAATGCAACAGAAAACTTTGTTGTGTGTGCATCCACTACCAAAGAAATAAAGACTAAGGACCAACAGGATGCTGCTGGAACCATGTTGGTGACTATTCTTGTGACTATTCTGAATGCTTGCTTGATTTCTATCTTGTCTTTCCATTCTGTCCTATCACTACCACTGTACGCTTTTAATAAAAACTGGTTTGGGTGTACAGCATTCAATCTCATTTGTGTCTTAATCTCCCTCTTGGGATCATATCAAAACCTCCCCTGACATTGGAAGCCAAATCATGGAAGTAATCATAAAAGCAGTGTATGCAAGTGCTGACCATCTCTCCATAAGTACAAGTTAAACTGTCCAGGATGTAAAGAGCTGACAACAAAGTCTGATGAGAATACTAAAGTAGTTGTACATGCAGTCCTGCAAAATATTGAGTACAATATAAGCTCAAAGCTAAAAGAACTAGATCTGATACAAAGAGCAGTCAGATATTTGAAATCAAGGCCTTCATTGTAGACTGAGTACATCTGATTAGTCAGACTGTGCTGCTTCGTTTATTGCAGCTTTGTTCTTACTAAAAAGGTAAGCTTCTCACAGCTGTCCAAAGCCAAAACCAGGCACAATTTTCCTTTCTGGGCTTTTGTGTGAGCCAGCACATACAGGATGCAGGAACATCCACAAAACCACAGATGAAATGCAGAGAGAAAATTTATTCTCATTAACTTGTGGCCTAGGCGGTCTCCACAGCAACATTAAGGCAGAGGCACACAAGCCTCTGGTACACAGATACCATGTGATACAGAGAAATGATTACTTGTATTGAGATTTATTTACTTGTTTACTTATAGAAAACTTCTTAGCAACTTATTTACTTACTTATAGCAAGTTATAGTAATTTTAAAATATTGCTAAGAATCCTGCTTGCCCAGACTGTTCTGTGGAATTTTACCAAGGACTACTGTGTTCATCAAAACAAAGCAGTTCACTGTGAAAATCTACCAAGGATTACAATGTTCAGCAAAATAGTATACTTTTGTCCTTGAGTAACAGGTGGCTCTAACTAGTTGGAATTTTGCTAATGAGTAAAGATAGCCATATACGAACGGTAGAAGTTCAATTCGTTCTTTTAGATAAGATAAAAAGTAAACCGTCTGAAAAACACTCTTGTTATTCAAGAAATTGGCCAAGAGAATCTGCGCATGCTCCAGGAAAAAAAAAAAAACAACCAACCAAACAAACAAAAAAACCCCAACAAAGTGAGAAAGACTACAAGCCTTCCTCCCAAAGACCCCTGAAGACACCCACCAGGAGGCAATGCGCAAGTGCAAAGATGACATAAACTGCTGACACCAGCCTTTCTACCTAACCCAGCTCTACTCATGCATATGTATGTTTGTGTTACGTAATCCAATGAATATGTATATCCACACTCTGAGTTTTTGGTAAAATGTGCAGTGGGTGTGCAAGCTTTGTGGAGAAATCCCTTTGCACCCTGGCCGGAGTAAACATACCTGCTTTATAACTCTATTCGAGTTGTAGAGTCTTTTTTTCCGTGAATCAGTTGGCACCCCAGATGGGACCCTCTCTGTCTGGCTGCAGGACCTGTTGAAAGGGGGACTCTCTGGGCGCGCCCCTAGGCTTCTTTCTTGGAGAGTCTCCCTTGCTCTGCCGATATTCGCAGGGACAGCCAAGGAACATCCATCGGCTGCAGATCAGGTATGTGGGAGAAAGGGGAGAATTGTAAATTGTAAGGAGATGTCCTATGCAAGGTAAAGAGCCATTGTGCTCCCCCTGGGGTTGGGGTACGAGTCCCCAAGTAGTGTGGTTGTGGGCTTGTGGGCCTGTGGTGACAGAGTGGTTTTAACACTCTGACCACACTGGTATCTGGGGTCGACCTGGTGTTATGGGAGTCATGTGGCATTGCCATGTTATCATCAAATGTAAAATCTGGTACCATTTATAATTTAGTTGATATTGGTCAGGTGTGGATTTGTGGTAAATGATAAATGGCAACCGGCTCATGGTGTATGATTTATGCTTTTGGCTTTGATTTATGACTTTTATGATTTAGGAGTTGTTGTAATTTTTGTAATTGTTTTGATGTTTGTAGTAATTGTCATTTTATGTTGTGTGAGTAATAAGTGAAAGGGGCCTCTTTGTGTGGTTGTGTGATTGTTTTGCATGTGAGAAAAGAGACGCAGCCCAGCTGCAGCTGTGGAGTTCTCTGACCCACGGTTCTGTCACCCCATCAGGGAAGTGGCCGGGAAGGAACAAAGTGCAGGGCAGACTCTGTTACCAGTGTGAGGGTAGTGTAGGACAGGTGAACATTCCTTAGTACAGAGCCCTAGTGCTTGCCTGCTGGGTCATCAGGGCTGCTGTTTGTTCGGGCTAAGGGTTTTAAGTGTCACAGGTGAAATATCTCCTCTAGTGGGAGGCAGTAATTCTGTGTTCACTGTTGTCTTGAATTTAGGTGCGTACTATGTGGGGAGAGTGCACTTCTGTACCATCTGCCTGAGGGGGGATATTGTCAGCTTAATCAGGTAGTGTGTTAAGGTCAAGCAGACAAGATGGGAAGAGGCCAGAGTGGGAGAATAGTTAGAAAGAGCAAAAAGAGCCCCCCTGGTCTGCATTGTAAAACACTGGAAGGAGATAGGGGGACCTCCAGGCACACGTGCAAATAAGACGACCTTAATGAAGTATTGCAATTAGTAGTGGCCCCTATATAAATTGAATGGGGGGGAGAAATGGCCCCTTTCTGGGACCTTGAATTATAACACCTTGCTGCAATTGATGCTGTTTTTAAGGAGGGAAGGAAAGTGGTATGAAGTCTCCTATGCAGACATGTTTTTCACCCTCCAAGACCATCTTGAATATCAGATACACCGTGGACTGACACCCCCACGAGATTCACTAGTGTTGGCTGTAAAGAGAAAATAAGAAGGAAGGGAAAGAGAAAGGGGCAGAAATAAAGGATTTATCAGAGTACTATAAACAACCAGTAGGAAGCCAGCAGCAAGAGGGTGAAAGTTTGGAGGAGCCAGAGCCAGGCTCCCCCCACCTCACAGCCCCGAATCGGAGACAGATGGGAGAAGCATCAGTGGTGCCAGCTCCTCTGAGAGAGGCTGTAGGGCTGGATGGGGCCCTGTCAGAATAAAAGTCCCATTCACTTCCTCTGATCTTGAAATTTGGAGAAATATAGCAAAGGGGTACCGAGATGACCCTGTTAGGGTGACTAGGGATTTTCAGTTTCTGATAAAACAACATGATCCAGAATGGAGTTATATACAATTATTATTAAATCATACAACCGGAACTGAAAAAACAATTAATATTAAAAACAGCCCAAGATCTGGCTACTGATCATCTTAGGGGTACAGACAAAGATGTAAAAGATCACTTCTCCTTACAGGATCCATACTGGGACCCTAACAGAGCAGTCCATATGAGACTGCTAAATGCATATAGAGATTGGATCGTAAGGGGCATGGAGCAGGCTATACCAAAAGCAATTAACTGGTCGGCCCTATATGCCGCTCGGCAGAGACCCAAAGATACTCCCTCAGAATTCTTGGATAAGCTGCAGGATGCCATGAGGAAGCACACACCCTTAGATCCAGGATCAGAGGTGGGAATACAACAGCTAGTGTTATTTATAGGACAATCAGCATGGGATATTCGAAAGAAGTTGCAAAAGCTGGAGCCTCCAGAGAACAGGGATTTGGAGACCTTGTTAAATGTAGCATGGAGAATATTTAGCAATAGGGAGGAAGACAGGAGGAAGGAAAAGAGGGCATTAGTGGCATCACGATCAGAAAGCATAAGACCCAAGCAACCTTTGGGCAAGGACCAGTGTGCATGGTGTAAGCAGAAAGGACACTGGCAAAATAAATGCCCAGAGAAGCAGTGGGGAAAAGACAGAATACAAGCCTATGTTAAAGAGGGTGACTGACGGGGACCTGGGGAGTCAACCCTAGCGGATCCACTGGTTGTAATAAAGCTGGGGAAACAACATCATGATATGGAGTTTTTAGTCAATGCTGGAGCAACATTTTTTGATTTTAAATGAAGCTTTAACACCCTTAGATGATGATTTTATAATGGTAAAGGGAGCTACTGGCCAAAGTGAAAAGGCATATTTTCTGAAACCTTTAAAATTCAAATTAGGAATATATGCCAAATTCACCAGAATCTTTACTGGGACGAGGTTCACTCTACTGGACCCTCCTTTGCTTGCCTTTGAGCTCCAAAACTCAGTTATTGTTTGCATTTGAATGAGAAAACATGGTGTCTGGAAGGAAGATGCAATTAACATGGACTGTGCTACCCTAGGGATTTAAAAATAGCCCCATGCTTTTTTGAAGACCAACTAGCTAAAGATCTGGAGCAATGGGAGTGACCACATGAAATCGGGGAGGTCCTGCAGTATGTAGATGATCTTTAACAGCCACAGAGACTAAAGAAATGTGCATTACATGGATTATTAGTTTATTAAATATTTTGGGACTTAATGGCTATCGAGTCTCTCCACAGAAAGCTCCAGTAGCTCAGCAGCAAGTAATCTACCTTGGATACGAGGTCACAGCTGGTCAACGGACCCTAGGAACCGCAAGGAAGGAGGCCATCTGTCAGAGCCGTCGGCCACAGACAGCTAAAGAGCTCTGCACATTCCTAGGAATAACCGGATGGTGTTGCCTGTAAATATATAACTATAGACTAATGGTAAAACCCCTTTATGAATATTGAAATCAAATCTGAAAACCCTCATTTGGAATAAAAAGGCAAACAGAGCATTCCATCAGCTGAAAAGGAAATTGATGGATACCCCTGCTTTAGATTAACGAGACATCACTAAGCCTTTCCGGTTATTCTCCCACGAGAAACAGGGAATAGACCTAGGGGTCCTGGCCCAAAATTTGGGGCCAGATAGAAGGGCAGGGGCATACTTCTCTAAACAACTTGATGAAGTAAGCAAAGGATGGCCTAGCTGCCTGAGGGCAGTAGCAGCATCAGTTTGAAATATCCAGAAAGCACGAAAATTCGCATTGGGTCAGGACACTGGCTTTTACCTCAGAGGTACCTGAAATACCAGGCTCCTCCTAGTGGAACAGGATGATATAGAAATAGAGGCTACTAATATTGTCAACCCAGCTTCTTTTCTCAGTGGAACTATAGGAGAACTAGTGACACACGACTGCCTGGAAACAATTGAAGCAGTTTATTTCAGTCGGCCAGACCTCAAGGAGGAGCCACTAGAGGATGCTGATGAATCCCTGTATACAGATGGGAGCAGTTTTACTTGACAAGGTATCTGCAAGGCAAGATACACGGTAACCACCAAAGATCAGATAACAGAATCTAAAGCTCTTTCTCCAAATACCTCAGCACAAAAGGCAGAAATAATAGCTCTAACACTGGAGATGGCCAATTTTATAAAAATTAATATATGGATGGACTCTAAATATGCTTTCGCAGTGGTCCATGCTCATAGAGCAGTCTGGAAAGAAGGAGGACTCTTGTCTGCACGGGGAAAACATATAAAGCATGCCAAAGAAATCCTCAAACTCTGGGAAGTAGTGCAGATACCTGAAAAGGTGGCTATAATGCATTGCAAAGCTCACCAAAGAAGAAATTCCACCTATGAATTGGTACCACTATGGCAAATCATGAGGCCAAAAGAGTGACTGAGAAAGGGGAAATAGAAGTGCAGTCTTTGGTCCTGGACGGTAAAATACAAATTGATGGTGAGCCTCAATATTCTAGGGAGGATCAAAAACTTATTGAATATCTAAAAGGAAACAGGGAAGAGGGCAAGGGAACAAAGACTCCTGAAAGTAAAATAATAGTACCATCTGCACTATTATGGACTATAGTGATGACAAAACAGAGAAAATCCCCCTGGGAAGCAGAGGCCTTATATAAATATCTTCATCAGCAAATGGTTGCCCGAAATCTGTATACCACCATCAAGCAGGTGACACAGCAATGTGAAATCTCTACAAAATAATCCTAAAACAGGACTAAAGATGCAACCTGGGTGAATAGGGAAAGGAAATTACCCAGGGCAACAACAGCAAATTGATTTTTTCTGAACTCCCAAGAAATTTTTTCTGAACTCCCAAGAAAAGGGGGGTTTTGGTACCTTTTGATTTTGACAGATACCTTTTCCAGGTGACCAGAAGCATTCCCTTGATGAACTAATAAAGCCTAAGAAGTAACTAAGGTATTGTTACAAGAAATAATATCACGGTTTGGGGTTCCAGCAATAATATCCTCAGATCAGGGATCACATTTTGTAGCAAAATTGTCCAGCAGCTTAGTAAACAACAAATAGTAACGCTAGGCCAGAAAGCTACATTGTCCTGGCCCCAAGCATTGCTCTTAGGCCTTCTAAGAATCAGAACCAAACCCAGACAAGCAGAAATATCAACCCAGGCTGGACATGAAATATTATAAGTCCACAAAAGCATCTGCCAGAAATGAAGAAATTGGTTCTAGGAATTGTCTGGACAGGCCTCTATACAACATTAAACCTGGTGATGATGTATATATCAGATCTTTTTCAGATTCACTTCTGGAACCAAAATGGGAGGGTCCGTTTCAGGTGTTAGTAACTTCCCAGCAATCAAGATTAAAGAACAGACATCCTGGATACACCACACCAGAGTGAAGAAGGCCCCTAAGCCAAAATAGAAATCGACACCTGTGGGACTGCTAAAGCTTTGCACCCAAAAATGGTGACATGGGTATAAGTGCTTAGAATTTTGCTGAACTGTAATTTAAAAAGTACTTGGGAAGGGCCTTGGTCGGGTGCTTATTTTGGACATACAGGCATTATGGGAAAGAATCTATTGGGGATGAATTTAGCAACTGTTCTAACATATGACAACATGCCAATTTGAGATTTACCCTAATGAAACCACAGAGACTATTATAATTTACATGGGTATGGAATGTGTTTGTTTACGAACCCTATATAATTTTGTACAAGTAGATAACCTTATAATAGATACAAGTAATCATTTGAACTTCTGTATCTGCAATTTCGTTAGTATTACAGGATGTGATTTCAGTTATACTGCTCCTGTCACAATTTATCAGTTGTTAAGATCTAATTATAAATTAGTCCAAGATTGGCAACCCACAACTATTGGAATGGAAGAAAACTTTTGCATCATGAAAATTTAATTACTGTCCAGCATGATTCAAAAAGAATAAATCAAGTCATGAAATGAGTGAAGTCAGATGAAAAACACTACTGGTGGGATATATTTACAGGCTATTCCCCATTAGCTACCAAAATCTTAAATATCAGTAATAAAATATAATAAACCCCTTTTGACTGCAAAATAATTTGATTAGGGAAAAGAAAAGGGGGGAATTGATACAGAGAAATGATTACTTGTTTTGAGATTTATTTACTTATAGAAAACTGCTTAGCAACTTATTTACTTACTTATAGCAAGTTATAGTAATTTTAAAATATTGCTAAGAATCCTGCTTGCCCAGACTGT